TTTTTGGTCTTTTTGAGACAGGGTCTTGCTATGCAGTTCAGGCTGGCCTTGAGCTCACTTTGTAGCCCAGGCTGGTCTCAAACTTGCAACGATCCTCATGCCTCAGCCTCCCAAGTGCTAGGATTACAGGCTTGTGCCACCACACCCAGTTAAAAGTTCTTTTTTTTGGTACCAGGAATCGAACTCAGGACCTTGCACTTGCCAGGCAGGCACTTCTTTTCTTTTCTTCTTATACGCTGAGATTATCCACTATTTTCTACAACCCTTATACATGCCACCTGGAAATTTGGTTTCTCCTGTCTGAACAGCTTCACCTTTGTCTTAGCTAACAGGCTTGGGCCATGGTGATTTGCTTTCTACCCAAGGCCAATAATGACCCAGTTCGAAGTTGCTCCAAGAGGCTTGTCTTGGAGGAGCTGCTAGGGGCGTGGGAAACGCTCAGCATCACAGGCCTGCACACAGCTGCGCTCTGACGCATTTCGTCAGTGCTTTTCTGAACTTTCCACTGGGCAACTTTGGAACCCTAGCAGACCAGAGGCTTCCTAAGATAAACACCAGAATCAGGGAGCAATGCTATTCGGGCTCTGTCTCCTCCATGCTTTGGGGATATCTTTGCTAAAAGACCAGGATTGAGACGGTCGGAGGAGGTGGTACATTTTGGTGAAATCCCCCGCCTTCTTTTTTGTCTTTTGGAGACAATCTCACTGCACAGTTCAGGCTGGCCTTGAGCTCACTTCATAGCCCAGGCTGCTCTTGAACTCGCAACGATCCTCCTGCCTCAGCCTCCCAAGTGCTGGGATTACAGGCCTGCACCACCATGCCCGGCTCATTTTGGTAACTCTTTGGACCTATGGGACATCATAGCCTTCTCTTTCCAACCTGAAGGAAGTAATATTTTTTTAAAAAATGCTCATTATGCCCAGACACTTAGTATTAATGTTGCTGAAGTTCCCGGCAGTCTAGGAGGTAGGTGGTGTTATCAGTAATGTATAGACAGAAAGTGGGGCTCGCCCACCTTGCCCCAGCCTACACCGAATGCCACGCTGCTGCTCCTCCGCACAGCGCTGCACTGCCCCCCTTCCCCCCGCCGCCGGGCTGCCTCTGCTCCTGTGGGGGGGGGACCCCAGCGACCAGGGCAGCGCCACTAAATCCACCTGAAAAGGCCACAAGAAAACAAGGGAAGGGAGCTATTGTTTTCTGTTTTCCCAGGGGGACCCCACCCCAGGCCACAGAGGCCTTACAGTTCCCAGCAGGCCAGGTTCTGTGACTGGGAACCTTGTAACCTATTTTTTTTCCTACTGATTAAGATCACATTTTTCATTGCCTTTGATTTTTTTTTTTTTTTTTAAGATCATAGCCAGCAGCCAAGTCTTTTATAAAAACACAATCTGGGGCTTGGGTCCCAGAAGTTCAGTCTGTTTTGTCCCACCAGATTATCTGTTTCCTCTTCGATTTGTCATGTAAACCTCACCCTGTTTCTGCCCGGATCCTGTCACTGTGCCCAGCCTCCAGCCTTCCCAAATGGGATGTCAGCATCTCTACGGGCAATGGCAAGGGTCGCAGATTTAACAAAAACCTAAACCCCTCCAACAAAACCGGTCCCCTCCCACCTCACCCCATCCCCAGCATCTTATTGAAACCAGAGTGAGGTCCAGACTGTGAGCAAATGTGCCGTTTGCAGAGTCGCGGCCCCGAGGCAGATGAAATGCCCAGACACTGGCCTTTTAGGGCTGCCTGAGGAAGAGCTAACAAAAGGGGTGACCGTCCCTAAACAGCTGCTTGGGGAGGAGGACATCTGCCCCCGTCTTACCAGCCATTCAGGGCACAGGACTAGCCTAGAAAAGAGCATGTGGCTGGGGCTGGGGAGCAATAGTTCTGAGGCTGCCAGTTGTTACATGGCTTTTGTCTTAAGGAAGCCACCCATGATGGCAAAGCCATAACTCGCGGGAAGCCAGCTGTCAGGGCTGTGGCGCAGGCCCCCGGGGTGGGAGGTGAGGGGAGAAAAAGATCGTCTCTGGCCACATTCCCTTTTAGACACCTGAGCTGGCCAGCTTTGTAATCGGAGAGTTTTCCTCTTCTCCCCGTCCCATCTTCCCTAGGGACACGCCGGCCCCGTCTTCTTGCTCTCCACCCTTGGAGAGCGAGGTGGCAGGGACAGCGCAGTATTCTGCCTCCTTGGTCTGCAACTCCCAGTGCGCCGGGCTGCGCTGCGCTGCGGCTGGCTGGCGACGCGCTCTCAGCCAGCGCTCCGCTTTGAAATCTCCCCCTCCTTTTTTTTTTTTTTTCAACCAGGTATGATGATGTCAAACGTGATGCCGATGCTACAGTTACAGACACAGCCCCTGCTGGCGCAGCCTCTCTGATTCCCTCTGCCTCTCGGCGGCCGGCGCTGAGCATTTGCAGACGAGTGCATCTCCTAACCAGGTCACATTTCAGCCGCGACCCCCCACCGCCAGGCACCCGAGCAGAGCGCCGGAGGAGGGCGGGCGGGGACCGCGGCAGCGCAGCGCGCTTGGCCAGCAGCGGGGTGGCAGGAAGGACATTACATCCTGCAGAAGTCAAGACCCCCCGGTCCGGCCCTGACCACGATGCGCGCCCCGGGCTGCGGGCGCCTGGCGCTGCCGCTGCTGCTGCTGGCCGCTGCCGCCCTGGCCGAAGGCGACGCCAAAGGGCTCAAGGAGGGCGAGACCCCCGGCAATTTCATGGAGGACGAGCAATGGCTGTCGTCCATCTCGCAGTACAGCGGCAAGATCAAGCACTGGAACCGCTTCCGAGACGTGAGTGCGCGCGGGGCGCCCGGCGCGGGTGTGGGGTGGAAGCGGCGGGGCGGGGACCCCAGCACCCCGGTCGGCTGAGTAAACAACGCCGAGTCCCCGTCGCGCCCCTTCCCGTGTCCCCAGAGCCGCGGGACCCTCCAGTCCCCACCCCCTTCCCCCGTCCCTTGAGCCCCAGGCGAGAGGACGCCGGGAGGGGACGCTCCGCGGGCGCAGAGATGGGGTGCAGGGATGGGGTGCAGGGTGCGAAGCCGCTGGCCCGGCTCCCTCCCTTCTCGTGAGCCGCCCCCGGCCTGTCCCCAGCCGGTGCTGCTGCAGGCGCCACATACGGGGCACTGCGGAAGGCGCAGGTCTGGGTGGGGCCGCCGCCTGCGCGGGTGCCCTGGGTCCCCACTGTGGCTTTGGGGGAGGGGGATCCCGGGTAAGGGATAATGTGCCACAGCTTTGAGTTGGGGGGCCCTGCAAACTCCGAGGCGAGGTGATGGAAGGCGTGTCCGTAGTGGGGAGCAGCCCAGGGCCGCTGTACTCCAGAACCAGGTCTGGGGTCCCCACGCAGAGGTGCGCGCACCAAACTAGGCTGGGTTTTGGGACCAACCCTGGGAGTGGGGCTGGACTACCGCACGAGGAGAGCTTGCAACCCGAGGGAGGGACGACGTGCAGCTCGGTGGGCTTGGAAAGCAGAGGGAGAGCCCAGCAGCTGAGGGTCGGGGGTAGCTGGCAGCGCGCGCCCCAACCCGGGCTTAACCTTGGCCCGAACTTTGCAGGGTGGGGGGCGGGGAGGCGGCTGCGGGCGCTGGCGTCGCTGCAGCACTTTGTTTACCGGCACCTGTAGCTCAGAGGGGAAATCGGAGGCGGCTCCCAGAAGGCCTGGGGGGATGGACGGGCCGGGGTGAGCACGCGAGGGCGTGGGTGAGTCCCAGAAAACCGGGGGGCCGGGAAGCTCAGCTCATCTTGGCGACCCCAGAAAGCTTCATTTAGGACCTGCATTCTTGGGCCTCAGTCCCCAGATTCTTCCTGGAACTCCCTAGCGCAACACATGCCACCCCTCGACCTTTGTTTCTGTCAGCTGCGTGCATCCGCAAGTTCCTTAGAAATTTCGTTAAAACACCCGTGCTCCCTGTGGAACCCTGCCACACGATGCACAGAGGCAGGGATACAAGTCCGGCTGTCCGGGAAGGGGGAACCACGGCAGCCAGGTTCCCACACTGGGTGGCCTGGACCCCGGAGTGGGCCGTGGGTGTCAGCCTTTGCTCCACCCAAGGCTGGCCCAGCCCGGGAACTGGAGCCGTCCCTTGGCACCTGCAGGCCCAGCCCCATCCGCCGCAGTCTCCTGGGCTGCCTGGGCAGAGGCCCTGGGGCCCAGCAGTGAGGGGTGGAGCCGGCTGCCAGTCCAGAGCCCATGTGTCACTCGTCCAGGCCTCCCTCGGACTGGCTGGCTGTCTGATCCGTGGAAATAGGACTGGTGAAGGTCAGAAGGAAAAGAGATGCTTCATCAGAACAGTGGAGGGTTAAAAATAAGATCCCTTCCACCTCCCTTCCTCCACCTGCTTCCAGTAACCAGCCCAGTGGGTGAGAATAATAACTGACTGACTGCTTGATCCCCGGCACAGGGCTGCCCACCTGTCTCCCTGGATTGGTGCCAGTGACTTCCTCCTTCCTGCATGCTCATCAGAAGGGAGGCCCCAAATTTGAAATTCTGCAGGACCTGCCCCACTGCACGCCATGTAGAGCTTTAGGGTGTATATTGATGGGGGGCTCGGGCTTTGGTAGGGCAGATTGCTATGAAAACCCCCTTGAAGGCAACTCTGGCTGCCGGAAGACAGGGTCAGGGAGAGAAGTAGGACAAAGAAGGCTGGGCAGGACGGCCTGGCCATGGGAGTGTGTTGGCAGCTTTTGCAGAAAAGCAAGGAGGCTGCAAGCTCAGAGCCACAGCATTGCATAACTCTAGCGGAGCTACCACACGAGTGGTGCCCCCTGGAGTTGTGCAGTGCACAGACTGTACACAGGGACTGTGCCAGCACGAGTCCCTCCTCTCCCAGCAGAGACTGTACTTCCTACCTCAGTGCGGCAGGCCCTCCACCTGGGCACAGTAGCATCCATCTTTGCACACAGCCCATGGGCCAGCTCTTCTGAGAATACAGAAGCTTGGCTCCTCACCAGAGAGAGAGGAATTTCTTTTGAATCCCTCAGGGGCTGCAGGGTTGAGCTGGAGCCTTGTTCATGGTCCAGTCACAAGATGGCACAGCCCCCCCGCCCCCGTTTGCCCAGGCAGGAGCATGAGGAAAGGGACATTCTTGGGGAACAGTTTTGAAGGCCTCTAAAGTGTCTTCTTAAATAGTAGCGATGGAACAGACGGGGAGATGGCAGGGCTTGTGTCCAGGGCTCAGGAAGGCGGAGGAAAGGACCAAAGCCAGGGAGCCCTCCCTTCTGCGATCAGTGGGGCTGGTGAGGAGCGCGGGCGGCTCAGCTCAGCTCCCAGCTTGGGGATTATCGGGGAGGCAAGGTTTAGCAGCAGAATAATCCTCCCTCCATGGGCGCAGGCCGCACGTCCTGGGCCCAGCGGGTCCCCGCGAAGCCTGCACTCTGCTGCCAGGGAGGAGGGCGGCCCTGGCTAGGAGCTGGGGCATGTGCTGTGCCTGGCTCCTTCACCCACAATCTAGCTGTGCTCTGCCCTGCGCAGCCTTGGACTACGAGGGATTGGACCTAGGGGAGCCCTTCACACTGAGCTGCAGCCATAGTCCACTTTAAAAAATGTTTTATTTTGAGACCAGTCTTGCTAAGTCACTAAATTGCCCAGGCTGGGTTTGAACTCACAGTCTTCCTGCCCCAGCCTCCCAAGTGCCAGGATTACAGGTGTGCACCACACCCAGCTCCTGTTCCCCAGTGTTCCTACCTCTTAACTCACTCCCTACATCATGGGGTGGGACCGAGGACCTCAGAAGAGAGCGTGCAGGGCCTCGTGGGGGGGGACGCTGGGAGGAGGTGGCCCTCCTCCCCACCGGTGCAGTGTCCTCAGGACGGGCTCCCTAGAACATGGCTGCAGGAACTGACTGTTCTCTTTTTTTTTTTTTTTGGTGCCGGGAATCGAACTCAGGACCTTGCACTTGCTGGGCAGGCACTGTGCCACTGAGCTATCTCCCCGGCCCTCAGGAACTGACTGTTCTCATTCTTCTTGGCTCTTCACTACATTGCACTCCTCCTCCGTTACATTTTATTACACTTGTGGGTGTCTAGCCCTGCTCTGGGCACTAGAGGCACACGGTTAGGGGCAGTGGGCCTGCCTCTCCCAGGCCCTGCAGTGGGAGGTTTGTACTCAACAACCTGTGTGATTATTCCTCTAGAGTTTGCCCATTTTATGGTCAAAGACACTGAGGCACAGAGGAATGAAATAACTTACCTAGGGTCAAAAGCTAGAAGTTGGCAGAGCAGGGTTTGCATCCTGGTCACCGGATTGGGCTTTGGTTTTCAGGACCCTTAGTGATGTAGAAGGGAGGGTCTGCCCTGGAGAACTGGCTACCCCCTCCTGCATCCTGCCAGCTCCCCAGGTGCCCCGGGCAGGAGCAGTGCCTCCTGCCGCCAGCCAGAGCCCAGGAACACCCTAAAGGTAAGTCCCATCCAGGAAGAACTAGGGGTACCAGGTACGGATTCTGGGTTCAGGTTCTGACTTGGCTCAGCTTCCATTTCCTGCTGGGAGCCAGACACAAAGGCTCAGGTGTGGGGCATCTTGTCCCAGGGCTGGAGGGCATCTCGCGTAGGCGGTGCTCTCTCGGGCAGATGGAGGCTGGTTCTGGGTCTGGCCCACGCCACGCCTCGGTCTCCCAGCCAAGGCGATTCTGCCTGTTCGCTGATTCCCTGGCTCACAGCGGATCTGGGTGCCGCTGACTTCCTGGTGACCCCGGGTCGGCTCAGGGTGTCCTGGCCGGCAGCTCCCATGTGATTCTCATGTTCTTCGCAGCAGCAGGAGCAAGTGTGGGCCACACAGCGCTCCTCTGTGACCCCTCCTTCCCCGCACACCTAGCCCCGTGCAAGCGTGGGGATGCGGCACAGATGTTCGTAGGGAAGTGTGGGCGTGTGAGAACCCAAAAGTGGGTCAGGAAGGATTCCACAATTGGGCCTAGGTCCTTCCCCAGCCTCCTCCTCCACCTGGGCTTCTAACTCCTCTCCCACTGCCCGGCTGGCGTCTCCAGAGCAGCGTCAGCTTGGGGAGGGCTCTTGAAGGCCGGGTGGAACTCTAAGCCTGGGGAGAGACCGAGATGGGAGCCTCGCTGCACAGAGAGGCTGCCAGGGGCTGTGTGCTCCTCTCATCTTCCAGGAGTCTAAGGAGGGAGCAGGGCCAGCACCACTCCTTTCTCCAGGAGGTCAGAGGCTGTCTAAGGTGTGGGAGAGCTCGGGGAGGAGGGTCCTCCGATCCTCTTCCTGGTGAGAGGGTAGACCCGCTGCGTGATTCTGAGGCAGCTACTTTTCCTCTCTGGGCTTTGAGTTTCCCACTAGAAACACACCGACCCACAAAGCCCCGGCCTCCTGTGACTCAGGAGAGATAACCAAGAGCCTGTCAGCAGCCGCTCCCGCCAGTCATGCGTCACCCTGTCCCACCCCCCCTGCTGCACACTGAGACCCCCCTGAACAAAGGCCTATGGCCAGCTCAGGGTTGGGTGTGTATTGCCCGAGCACTGAGAAACAGGGTCTCATGGCATCTGGGCAAACCCCAGGCTGGGACACACACCCTGGCCACTGTAGTCACTTTGGGCAGCTGTAACAAGAGGCTGGAGAAGCGACTTCAGCAAGAGACGTGTGTTTCTTATGCTTCCAGGACCACAGAGCCCAGGATCAAGGCACCAGCAGACTCAGTGCTGCTGGTCAGTGGCAGTCTTCTGTCTGTGTCCTCACATGGCAGGAGGATCAAGCACCGGTCTCTTTCTCATCTTCTAAGGACACTGATCCCAGCCATGTGTGGTGGCGCACGCCTGTCATCCCAGCACTTGGGAGGCTGAGGCAGGAGGATC